GGGGCGGCGCGTGAGCGGCGAGTTGTCAGCGCCCCTGCTGGCCGGCCGCGACATCTCGCCGTCCCCTGCAACGGCGCGCGTCAGTCCCAGCCCCGCCCACTCGCCCCCACTTACCCTGGTAGCCGGTGTCCAGGCTGGTGATGCTCGTTATGCTGGTGATGATGCTGCTCGCCTTGGCCCCGCCCCCCTTGGCCGCCTCCGCCTTGACGAGGGGCGTGGCGTCGAGCGGCAGCTCCTCGGGGGAGGGCGTGTCGTCGCCGCGCGCCCCCAACGGGTCCAGACTCAACTCCAGATTCATGGTTGTGTCCGTTTTAAGCAGGAAGCTGAACTCGGGGTTGGTGGGGCTCTGCCCGGCCCCCTCGAACAGCTTGTCGTAGTCGAGGGCGGAGCACTGCGTGAAGTCGACCATTTGGTCGGGCGTGAGGATGCCCAGCGACTCTTCGCAGTCGAGCGAGTCGCGCTTGCCGCTGTCGCCCTCTAGCGGCAGCGAGGTGGGCTTCTGCGCCGGCTCCATGCTGCTGCTGGCGGTGGTGCGGCGCCGTTTGGCGGCGTCGCCGTCGCCCTCCAGCCCGCAGAGGATCGAGTACGGGCCGGAACCGCTGTGGGGCGCTGCTTCCGTCAGGGACACCTTGGCCAGTGGCGCCATCAGGCCGCGCCGCGGCGCGCACTCAAAGTACCACACGCCATTCACGGTGCCGTTGTTTTTGCCGCAGGCGCTGTTCAGCTCCACCCCGCACCACACGCCCTTGGCAAACTGGACCACGCCCACGTAGCGCAGCACGCCCGCCTTTTCCCCCACCTGCACCGCTCGGCCCACGTGCGACTGCGTGATCGCGTACTGCGCGATCTGCGGAATGCGCGAAATCTGAAACAGAATGAGCGAGATTTACATGGCGAAAGTGTTGGGGCGCCCTCTGTGGACGCGGGAAAAACCCGCGGAGAAGTGATCAAGTGCCGCGCCCCTAGAGCATCAACCTGCGCAAGCAGCGGCTAATTGTAGCCCCCTTGGAATGCATTGTTGCCAGACTTCAGCTGATGTGAGGCGTTATTATAGAAGTTATTTAAGATAACGATAAAATGAATTATTTCCCATTTAAAATGTCTAGTTTAAGAATCAGTTTAAGATTTCTAATGTTGAAAGACTTTCAAAAAAATTAATTAAAATAATGTACATTAGAGTTTGAATAAATTTTGCTTAAATAAAAACATGGTAACAATATGCGCAACGATATAAACAAGTAAAATTAAATTTAATTAACCATTTTACTGTTAATTTAGCAGCAGTCTTTTAATGAAATTAAAATTTTCAGACCGTAAAGTTTGCACTGAAGTTCTTATTTCGTTAGAAATATTAAAAATTCTTTGCTAAAGTTCTTGGATTGTATTCACTTCTGGTGAATATACGGTACTTTTTGAATGGTCCCAGAAGAAAAAATCAAGCGCGATTAAATCGGGAGATCCAGGAGGCGAGTTTATAGAAGCTTTTTGACCTCTAGCAATCCAACGGCCTGGAAAGTTTTGATTAAGCCGAAACGATTTAATTTTTTGCACGCAAACTAGTGCCCTTAAGAAAAAACAATAAGAGATAAAAAATTGATAAATAACTTGTAGTAATTAAAAAAATTATTTATGAACTTCTTTTTGGGCTTTTCGCCTCAAAAATGTTTGTCTTTAAAAAAGACAGAATTTGGATAATTATTGAAGTTTAGAATTTCTTTTACAAATTGTTTTTTTTTGGAAAAAATAGATTGATTAAAAACTATTTTTGCTCTATCATATAGACTTTTTACGATACCTTTTTTAACCATTATCGGGTGATTTGAGTCGAAATTCAAATATCGGTTAGTATGAGTAGGTTTTCTATAGACCAAAGTTTCGAAATTGTCCAAATTTTTTGATTTGGTGATTTTGTTGTTTTTCAATAGTGAATTTAATGTATTTATCAATTTGTAATAAAGTCACGAAATTCTGTCTTTTTTAAAGACAACATTTTTTGAGGCAAAATACTCAAAAAGAAGTTTGCAACAAATGAATCCGCCTCAACAATATGGAACTCACCTAAAAAATGTTGATTAAAGTTTAAGTGCACACAAAAAAGTTCCGAACAAGACAAAAGTAGGAGTTCCACATTTCTACCCTGTATAGAAGTAAACTGAATTGGCAAAACACTACCGTAGAATGGGCTTTAATTATCTTATAATGTGTATCAAAATTTAAGTTCCCAATGTTTAACCGTCTTAAAGAAAAACGACAAAAACTAATATTTTAAACCACTTCACTTCCCACTTTTAACAGTTTTAACCTGACCTTGTTAAGATTTGACACTTGACACGATACTTGACAAAACATTAGACACTAGGTAGGCAGCCCAGAGGAGCTGCGCCATGTGAGTAAAAAAGAAGAAGTAGATACTGGCAACGTTGTATTCCAAGGGGCCTACAATTAGCCGCTTCTCCTGTGCAACGCGTAACGGTACCTCCACCGGCACAAGTGTGCCGGTAAATCGACGCAAATCTAGTTGGATGATGCGGGTACCAGTTTGCGATCGCTTTTTTATGCCCCGCAGTGGGCGCGGCCGCTCGACAGCGGCGCCAGCCCCATTTTTTCGCCATTCCAGGCGCGCTTCCGCATTGAATCGCGGCCAATGAAAAATTGCCCCATTAAAATCCACCAATATAACCACCAAGCACTCGAAAGTGACGTCAGCAGTGGGTACTTGACAGAGCGTTTCTCGATTGTTTCAAGAGCGCCAGGCCGATTAGCGCGTGGTTCCTGGAAAGTGCGCAATTGTTCCACCGCCAGTGGCGTGCGCCGCGCGATTTCCGCTCGGTTTGGCCGAATTTCGCGACGTGCGTTGACTCTTAATCGCTGGCGCGTTCCATTTCGAAGCCCCATTTGGGGCGCTGTTGGCATTCCAGCCAGCCCCCTGGGGCCCAGGCCGGCGCCCAGCCCCCCATGGCCCCCCTTATGGCACACTTACCTGGTTCAAGATGACGAGGCGCAGCCAAAACACGTGCACATCGAGCAACGCGGTCGCATTTCAACTGAGTTTGTTTATGTAAAAAGGTTGATTTCGTGTCAGTGTGCGGCGCTCATCAAGGCGTGCGTGCTTCAGCGGCCTGCTCCCCGACCTCTCGATTTTTCGCCAAATTTCCCCCCCAAAAGTGAGCGGACAGCAACCCCTGCCCGAGCCCCAGTTGCGCTCGCGCCCCTCTTGGGGCAAAGCCCCGGGTTTGGAGCGTTTTCGCAAATCGATCGGCCTGCCTCAGACTGGGGCTGCAATTGGGGGCACTCACCTTGCTTGCATCCTTATGGGGCTGAGGCAGCATTTCTGCACGCTCAGTCGCTCACTAGCACTAACATCAAACATTCGCCATGCACTCTCTGGAAATCGATAGAGCCTCTATGGACGTGTCTGGAG